TGGGGTACAGGCCAGAGGTGCAAGGGTGGTGAGAGGCTTCGCCAGGGACAGAGTGGGGAGCAGAACACTGCTGAGGGGAGCAGCAGGTGGTCTGCTGCACCATGTGGGTCATCTCCGGGACCGGGGATCAAACATGCACTGAAGCGGCATCAGGTAGCTTGCAGTGCTACATCCTAACCTGTTGCGCCACCAGGGAGGGCCCCCCTTTACTCTTTCTGTTCCAGCCATGCTTCTCTTCTTGCTGCTGCACACACTACCAGGCCTTCCTGTCTCAAGAACTCTGCGGTTGCATCCATTCCTTGTCTGGGAACTTAGTTTTCCCAACTCTTCCTCAGGTCTCGGCCTCAGATGCCCCATCTCGATCCTGACACACTGAAGAAAGCCCAACCCCCTCCCGCCCCCACCTTCTCAGGGCATCTCCCCCTTTCATCCTTTCCTTGACACGTGCCCACACTCTTCTCTTCAGTTGTCTGTCTCTTGTGCCGGATGCAAGTGTGTAAGGACAGGGTCTAATAGCGCTTGCTCCTGAATTTGCCTCCGTTCCTCACAGTGTCTGCACATTATAGACAGGTGCTGACCTGGCCAGTGAACGGCCCCATCTGCCCCTCCTCAGTCTCTTTTGCTGCGGCCACCTACTCTAAGTTGGAGGACTGTTGGCCTCCATTGAAATACTGTTGCGTCCAACAGTCCTGATTTTCAGTGTCTGCCACATTGGGTCTCTGACACCAGGGGAGAGTGACTACCTGGGAAGACTTCATGGAGGAGGTGCCCCCAGACCTGTCTTTAAATTAGTAGAATGCATGGGGCCTCCCTGGTGGTTCAAGGAGTTAAAACCAGCACTATGAAGCTACCCACAGCCACTGCAGTACAAGTTGGATCCCTGGCCGGGGAGCTGACCCACAGGGCACAGCAGACCTCTCCTGTCTCCCCGCTGCTCCCCTCAGCAGTGTGTTTCTGTGGATCCATCTGTTCTGCTCCCCATTGTGTCTGGATCCTCTCACCCCTGCACCTCTGGCCTGCACCCCAGTTCTTATATGCGTTAATGATTTTTTTTTTTAATGAGTAGAACACAGTCAAATGATGTAGCAAGGTATATAGGTGAAAATTCCTAAAGTCCAAGTCAGAGAGATGATACTGGAGCCAAATCAGGGTTCACATAATGGAGGAAGGGGAGGATAGAAACCCTGGAAGTCACAGGAAATAATCCAGCCTTCATCTTGAAGAATGGACATTCCCAGCCAGCAATCGGGAATCAGAATGGCAGACTTCAGACCTGGGTTTTCTGATTGTAAGATAGCTAAGCGTGGTGGGGGAGGGGATGTCCAGTTGGAAGCCATTCTTCGCATCTAGACAGTCTGGGCTGCAAATTGCGACTGAAGACGCCCTTCTGGATTCTCTGGTCTCTGATGACCTGGTGGAACAGAGACAAACCATCTCCGCAGTGTCACATCCAAGTTCCTTTTTTTTTTTAAGATTTATTTTTTTATGCACACAGAACTGGGGTACAGAGGCAGTGAGAGGCTTCACCAGAGACAGAGCGGGGAGCAGAACAGGCCGATGGAAGAAGTACACTGCTGAGGGGAGCAGCGGGCGGGTCAGGAGAGGTCTGCCGCGCCCTATGGGTCACCTCCGGGGCAGGCGGGGATCGAACTCGTGCTGAAGTGGCTTTAGCTTCTCAGTGTTGTGCTTTAACCCGCTGCGCCACCCGGGAGGGCCCACATCCAAGTTCACAGGACAATGAACAGATAATGACATAGTAGCTCTGTTAAGCCACTGGCTTTGGGGAATTTGTTCTGCAATGATAGCTGCCTGATACAGCCTGAGTGAGTTGTTTCTTGGAAGACGAAGGCGAGAGAAGAACGTTATTCTCAACATAAATGCCCTGCTCAAGACTGGAGTATTGTTCGCAGTCGTTAATTTCCTCAGTCTTTCATTCCTTGTCACACATCCTTTCACCAGACATGCACTGAGCGCCTCCCGTGGGTCAGACCCCATCTCGGCGTTGTGGATACCTTGGCCACAAGACAGACAGATTTGTGGGTGTCA